TTAACAAATTTAAACAACAAAGATAACAAAAAAAAACAAAAAATCAAAAAAGACATGTATAATTTTCCCAGCAATACCCTTTAAACAATACATTCAATGTCATGTGAGTTTTGATTAAATTTATCCTTGAAATAGTCATTCTTTGTACATTTAATGATTTTATTTAGGTGATTTCTGTATTCCTTATATTGCAATATTTTAGTGTAAGACGATTTATTTTAAGGGCTTTTTTCAGCTTATCTCGATTTTTTATAGACCTTATTATCCCACCTGTAATCCAAGGTTTAAGCCTGTTATAAGTTTTTGCAGAATTTTTTATATATTCAGAATTTTCTATTATTGTAGTTAACTTATTTGAGAAATTATTTGTGGCTTGTTCTGGTTGATTAAAACTTAAGGTGTTTGCCCAGTTTACCTCGGATGCAAATCGATTTAATCTTTTTTTCAAAATTAGTTTTTGTAGAATTATTTAAAATGGAATTATTTGAGATATTAAGCATAAGAGGCAAATGATCAGTTATATCATGTTCTATAATATAGGTATCTATTTTCTTTGAAGTTCCCTTATTCTTGTTTCGTAAGAACATATGATCCAAACAAGTTCCGCTCTCTTTTCTCGTAACTCTCTGACACAGTGGGGCATATCCATACGAAAACATTGTGGAAAGATATCCATTTACATCAGCACTGTCCCCATCAAGAAGATTGATGTTGATATCACCTAAGAAAATGTCAATATTACTATTAGGGTTTGAATTTGTCTCAAATAAAACATTTAAATCATTGATAAAATTATTCAAATTCGATGATGGTGACCTATATGATGCAAATATACTAAAATTAATATTTGCCTTAGATAATGTGATTCTTGTTATGTTTACCTCTGATGTTTGTAGTCTATAGTTAGTAAAATTTAAATTTAAATTGAGTTTTGAGTAGCTAACAATTCCATCAAAAGCATTATAGCTCCCATTATTCTAATATGCCGAATACCCTGGAATCTTGAAATGTAGTATAGTTTTTAATTTATGACATTCAGTTAGAATTATAATATCACAGTAAGCAGTAATCTTATACGTTTCTAGAAATACCAGTGAATTATTAAAATTCGACTTTAAACCTCTAATATTCACGTGCAGAATATTAACCAGTTTATGACCTGTGTTTACCCTATTCACCAAAACATTGGATCAAGTTTTGAGCAAATATTTACTGACTCTGGTATAGTCTCAAGTATCTCACTGATAGGATCAGCCATAGTTAATTCTAGATTTTGCACTTTCTAGACGATACTTGTATGTAGGGCATTCAACATCATTTGCTTTGTGATGAACGTCATGAGTTGTTGAATATTTGGTATTTGCTATATCACAGTTATTGCACTTGGGTTTTTGGTTCTGATTAACACAGTCTTTCTCTTCATGTTCTCCGGCGCAGTTACAGCAAACAAGTTTATTTGGATAGTCGCTGCTTTTATGGTTGTATTGCTGGCACTTAAAACACTTGAGTATACTTATATTTTCATATACTGGAAGCCTTTCCCATTCCATGTAAATTTTTCCTCTTTCTATAAACATTAGGGGAGCATTCTGCATAAACTGTCTTATATTTTTTGGTTTTGAAGGACTTAATGTATGTCACTTTAAAATACTCATCAGCTATAAATGGGTTCTGCATTTTTATCATTGATTCCATATCCTTTTCACTACAATCTCTTCTATATCCAGGTATTTTTATCTGCGGATTCTTGAGTGTTGTTTCTATAATGTCGTAGGTCGTAGCTGTGTCCCTCATCTTTTTCATGTCTCCTTCTGTAGGAAATTTTAAAAGAATTTTTCCATTTGAGAGTTCTTTTTTATTGTTTATTCTAACTCCGATATCCACTGGTTTTATCCTCTGTATATCTTCTCTGGTTTTTGGCATATCTTGCCTGTTCTTTGGTTTAATTATCAAGTTCGGAAGATTTGGCCTTATTACTGGTGATCCTGCGGGTGACTGATGTTCCTTTAGCACGCGTGAATATGTTGGCTTTTCAAATTTTTTTTCCATATTTTCTGACATGTTATTGACTTTTTCCTCAAAGCTTGCAACCTTATCGCAAAGATTTTTAATTTTGAGATTGCAGGTTTCCATTTCCATTAACTTTTTTAAATGTCTTTTACACGTAGGGCACATCCATATTAAGAGTTTTAATATTTCTCCTGAAATTTTTTTGTATTGTTGTGAATTGATACCAGCACAAGTCCTTGTAAATTATGGGTCATTACATCCCTCCGCCCTTTAAAACCGAAATTATATTGAATAAGATAATTTTGGTCAAATCATATTCAATTCCCTGGTACCAGGATTGGCATTTTCCTTCACAAAACAGGCCTTGTTCATTTTCTTCCACATCTCTTTTACATATTTTGCAAAAAGGATCTCCGTCTTCGCTTTTATCGTCGCTTTATTTTTAGTTAGATGGTGAATGGCGAGCGGTATATTGATGGTGTTTATTTACTCGGAGCTGCTACCTAAAATCTGTGGAAGGGTCTATTTGCAAGAGAGAGAAACAAACTATTTGAGGTGTACTAAAATTATAGTTTATTATACATAAAACCCAAAAATTTAAATCAGCAAAATATCTTCCAATTCTGACAGCCTCATCTATTTTTCTAAATTCAATTACTTCACATCCGTTCAAAATGTTATTATTACGGACCACTGAAATATCCCTACTAATAATGAAACGCCCTATTCCTACTATTCCTAATAACTTATAAGTTAATTAATTTCAACATTTCCGATTCATTCCTAATAAACTACCCTTCACCTTATTATATAAATTCTTTAAAATTTCTAAGTCCTTTACTGACTGCTTATGAAAAACCCAAAATAATTTCCTATTTGTTGATTAATATAGGTATTACTAACTTATTTTTATAAAACCATACAATAATTTCTACTTGAAAAATAAAAACCTAATTCAAAATTAATTCCATGAACAATACCTCCTAAGTTTCTTTCCAAAATTTCCTATTCTATTTAATAGTTTATTTAATCAGAACAAATTCTATTATAAGTTTCCTTTAACAACTTTCCAATATTTTAAGACTGATATAAGATTATATCTGAAGGCATTTTAAGTTATGCAATAATGTTCCATTTTCAAAACACTCGAGTTATTGATATGTATGCAATAAAGTTCCACAGTTAATTATAAAGTCAAAAGTTTTTCTAGTAAAAATTACTTAAGTTTTTAGGCATTAAAAGTCATTGTTAATCCACTTCTTATCATTCAGAATCATTGATAAAAGTCAGAAAATTATTAGACACTAAAGTACTTACATTTTACTTTGCACGCGTAAAATTATTAGTTTGAAAATTACACGTTTCAGGTGAATGTCTTACTTGAACATTTCAACAGTATATTGATGAATAGATAGCTGCGGAACTCGCTGCGCTCGTCCCGCAGAGGTCCACCCATAAGTTCCGCAACAATCCACTTATTTGTACTTGAAAAATAACTTATTATGGAAAGCCAGCATTTGTAAGATTATGCACTTTTTATCAATTAGCCTTTCAATAGGAATAAGTGATGTTACTTTACCAAACTAGTAATATATTGTGACAAGTTGTTGCGGAACTTATGGGTGGACCCAGTCATCTATTCATCAATATGTTGTTCAAGTACAATACTAACCGGAGTCACTCAATTGTGAATTTTTCTCAATAATTCAAAAACTACGCATTTCAGGTAAGTGTCTTATTTGAACAGTTCAACAGTATATTGGTGAGTAGATGGCTGCGGAACTCGCTGCGCTCGTCCCGCAGAGGTCCACCCATAAGTTTCGCAGTAATCCATTTATTTGTACAGGGTGTTCTTTTATATATTGACACCCCACTTACAGCCTTTACCTTTACAGGTAGAAGAAAGGTGTTGTACAGTTTTGGTTGAATTTTTAAAAATCATGGTTAGAAACAAAATTTGAATGTCAGAAATGTGAAATTTTGCATGTTTCCAGCTTTTTTCAAATGGGATGCCCTATATTTCATTCTATATTTCTGAAGAGCACAATGCCCCGATCTATATTTGATTGAACAATCTCTCATATATTTGGCTCCAAAAATTGTAAAAATACTATCCTACTACTGATTTTGTGAACCATTCTACCTATACAGGTAAAAGTTGCAGGTAAAATTTGAAGTACTTTACCTTTTATCTACCTGTAAAGGTAACAGCTATAGGTGGGGTGTCAATATATAAAAAAACACCCTGTACATAATTTTATTGATCTTGTATAAATATTTATTTATTAGAACAAAAAAAAACAATACATCAAGTCAACCACTAATGATAAACTGTTTGAAGTTAAAGTTCTTGGGACAAAGACAAAAGTGTGATTTTTTATAGGTTTCCAGCTTTCTAAACATTCTTAAAACTTAAAATATGGTTTTGTCCCCCCTGCCACCCCACTGAATCCGCCATTGGACACTCTTTCTATTAGCTCTACATTAAATTTTATAGGTTCTACAATAATCTAGACAATTGTGTAGTATAAAGGGGTTCCACGTTCCTCAATATTCTAGAGAAAAGTAAATCCTATTTTGAGTTAACCCATAAATATTCTTAATACACTAATAAAAAGTATCTCACAGCCATAATTTTATTGTAATCCCTCGTCTAAACTGTTTGCTAAAGGTGCTGCCTTATCTACTTTATTAAACCCTTATAAATTCCCTTCATTTTTCACCCGCGGACATGCGGTTTATCTTCCCTTACGATCCAGCCTCTCAGGTGTAGGCAAACATTTTTACAAAAGCCTTTCGAGGATAATGATTGAAAGTATTATCCGTTCACAATCCGATGTCCACAGGTAGGTACAGGTAAAATCACCTTTCAATGCTATTTGATAGAGAAAGGTGATAAATTTACCTGCACCTGTGGACATCGGATTGTGAACAGGATATATATTGTGTTTTATTATAATCGTTTAAATAAATGTTTTTATTTTTTCCAGCCAATGGGTATGTACCCACACAAATACGAATGGATATCGTCCAATCAGCAAAACGGCGACTGCTCTATATGGGTCAGAGCGGCCCAGCTAGAATTCGACGATGGAAGTTGGGAATGTCAAGTCACCGCCAGCGATTTTCACACTCAAGACGCTCTTACCAGTCATCCGGTTCGTTTGGTTGTCAGAGGTAAGCGAAATTCCAGATTCCATAGGATAAAATAGTTTCGAACTAGAAATAGAAATTAATTTAAATTCCACATACACTTTTTGACATTTTCCAAGTAGTTTTGAAAAGTTTCTAGGAAATCATGTGAATGTTCTTTGTCGGTTAAAATGTATTTGCGGATGAACGGAAAAGATATTTGGGGTTTGTACTTTTGCGCAAAGAATGCGGTTTTGGAATTGTTCCAACAATTTTCAATAGTAAAGATGCATTTGTATATAAATAGTAAATAAAATAAATTCAACAAATTTTACAAGCAGATCTAGGTAAAGAGTTTTCCAACTTTGACAAAACCCTTAAAGACCTCCTAGGCTAGTTCCTCTGAAAACAATTAAAAGAAAACCCCAGTTCTGGTTCTTAATTAATCGTGTTTTCTATGTAATAGTGGAAACGAAATTAGCTCTTGTGTCTCAGATGGGATAACAGCACAATTGGATTTCGTAATGATTTTGTGGTACGTGAAATTTGTCAAAGCGGTATTGTTTTAAACCATTTATGTAAAGAAAGCCACCTAGGAAATCTTTGCCGAAACTGTGAAAAATTTGGGAAATACATTTCTTATCACAAACAATTTTGAGGATTTTCAAGGAATTTGTGACAGGTATTTGCAGGGAATTTGCAAGCAATTTCGAGAAACTTTTGGAGTAACTTACAAGGAGTTTAAGAAATTGGTTGGACAAATTCAAGGGGGGATGGTTTATTCCATAAACCTTGGTAAACGAAAAGCTTTAAAGCTTTGCAGCTACGAAACTATTGAATACCCAATAGAGATTTGTGAAGGATTTAACTGGCTTTATTCCAAGCCTAATGACGTTAGGTCGGATTGAAATTTTATAAGTGGATAAAGAAATAATAAAAATTTGCTTTTACGCGAATTAAGGATTTCAAAAAGTTCCTTGCCTGTCACAATATTGTTAGTCTTGACTGTCTTTTCTTGGGAGAGAATCTTGGAAGTAGTTGGTTCCGCCACAGTTTTCCTGGTGTAAATCTTCATGCTAGGTTTGTAGGTGAGAGGATTTGCCTGGTTATGTTTCTTTTTCCTATGTACTTATCTTTGGATTCATATAGCTTTAGATTTAATTTCTTGTAGATAGTCCCGTGTTGCTGGGTATAATTATTCATAAGTGTTTTCCTGACGTCAACGTCAAACGGATCCTGCGCATCCAGGTGACCATTGATATATCTATTTGTCGTATGCTTGTTATTGAATGGATAGAACTATTGTATCCGAGAAGTGCATATGGTATTTGTTCTTTACCGCTTAAGGATTTTTTTTAATTTTTTCGAAGTATCCTCAGATGTTCGATAATGGTGGAGTGGAATCTTTCTATCATACCGTTGGATTGTGGGTTATTTGGGATAGATATCTTATGTGTATCTACAAATTCCTTGTATAAGTCCATTCCTAAATTCTGTTCCACTATCGGTGACTATTATGACGATATTCCATGATGAATTATTAAGATTAGGAGGGCATTAAGAACATTCACTGAACTTGATCCATCTATGTGGTAGGCTCGTCCATATTTTCAGAGGCAGTCAATTTGTCAGTTGTAAAGTTCTAATGCAGTTCAAAAATTCTGGTGTCAGTTCTATTTTAGCGTCCTTTTTGAGGCGAGTTTTAGTAATTTTAGTGAAGTCCTTGATAAAGTTCTTGTAATATCCAAGGAGGCCTAGTAATCCTCGTATTTCCTTCGTGGTTCGCTGTATTGCATAGTCAATTATGGCTTTAATTTTAGCCGGATTTGGTCTTATTCTTTCTGGTGAAACAATATGTCCAAGAAAGGCAATTTCGCATTTGTCCATTTGAATTTTGAATCCAGTTTCTCTGAGACGTTGAAAGATAAACTAGATGCTCTTGAAGTAATGTGCTGAATACAATGATATCGTCTATGCACACTAAGCAATTTTCTCCTTGATCTTTCAAAACGTTATTCATTACCCTCTGGAACATAGCTGGAGCGTTTTTTAGGCCAAACGGCATCCCGACATACTTATAATGGCCATTTTCGACATTGGAAGCAGTTTTACATATATCTTCCTTTCCTTAGCCATTTCGATTTGGTGAAAACCACTTGCCAGATCCAAGGTCGTAAGGTACTGGCATCTACCAAGTTTGTCCAAAATATCTGTTATGTTTGGAATTGGGTAGTTATCGTCGATAGTTTCCACTATAATCCATTACCATTCGCCATTTTATTTTTCCGGAGGCGTCTGGTTTTTTTGGAACTATCCATATCGGGAAAGACCAAGGTGACTAGCTTGGTCTGATAATTCCTTGATCCAACATGGAAGATGAGGAATTGTTTGCACTAAATCCGTGGGAGGGGGGTGGTTTACTCCTTCCTTGGATAACCGCTTTATTTATTCAAATAAATCCTCAGAGGTTCGACAATGGTGGAGTGGAATCTTTCTATCATCCCGTTGGATTGTGGGTTATCTGGGGTAGTATAATGGATAGATATCTTATGTGTATCTACAAATTCCTTGTATTCCTAAATTCTGTTCCACTATTGATGACTATTATGACTGTATTCCATGATGAATTGTGAAGATTAGGAGGGTATTAAGAACATTCACTGAACTTGATCCATCTATGTGATAGGCTCGTCCATATTTTCAGAAGCAATCAATTTGTCAGTAAATTTTTTAAATTTAAAAATTCTGGTGTTAGTTCTATTTTACCGTCCTTTCTGAGGTGAGGTTTAGTAATTTCAGCGAAGTCCTTGATAAACTTCCTGTAATATCCAAGGAGGCCTAGTAATCCTCGGATTTCCCTCGTAGTTCGCGGTATTGGATAGTCAATTATGGATTTCATTTTAGCCGGATTTGGTCTTATTCTTTTTGGTGAAACAATAGGTAGTCCAAGAAAGGCAATTTCGTTTTTCAGGAACTCGCATTTGTCCATTTGAATTTTGAATCCAGTTTCTCTGAAACGTTGAAAGATTTTTGAAAAATAAACCAGATGCTCTTAAAGTGATGGGCTGAACATAATGATATCGGCCATGTACATTAAGCAATTTTTTTCTTGGAGGCCTTTCAAAACGTCCATTACCCTCTGGAACATGACTGGAGCGTTTTTTAGGCCAAACGGCGTCCCGACATACTCGTAATGGCCATTTTCGACATTGTAAGCAGTTTTGCATATATCTTCCTTTCGATTTGGTGAAAACCACTTGCCAGATCCAAGGTCGTGAAGTATTGGCATCTACCAAGTTTGTCCAAAATGTCTGTTATGTTATGTAAAATTAGGTATTTATCCTCGACAGTTTTCTGGTTTACTTTCCTATAGTCCACTACCATTCGCCATTTTATTTTTCCGGAGGCGTCTGTTTTTTTTTGGAACTATCCATATCGGGGAAGACCAAGGTGACTAGCTTGGTCTGATAATTCCTTGATCCAACATGGAAGATGAGGAATTGTGGGGGGTTTTACTCCTTCCTTGGATAACCGCTTTATTTATTCAAATAAACCCCATCCTTATCGAGAAATTACGCGAAACAAATTAGGATATATCCGTTGAACAACGTCTAGAAAATGTTAACCGATACCAAACACGCAATCCTGGATTTATAAATTAGCAAAATCAAATAATTCTTCCATGTAGAGGCCAAGTAAACGAGTTCTGGATGCAATGTTGTTAATTGAAATTTGCGTTGGAAGAATATATTTCGGTTAAAGTACAACACACCGAGACTGGATCATTTATTTCAAGCAAACCAAGTAACCCCATTAGTCTTTTTCTCCGAACAAGAGAGGAAACAAACGTGAACGAAAAATGGGCAAAATGCCGAAACTGGCAAAAGGAAACGGTTTCACGATAAAGTACGTGTTTTAACATCCTATTACATAGACAAGGAATGGGACTAGAATAAAAAGATTGGCAATAGAAATAGGATTTTAATGTTCCACTATTAAACTTAAAATGCATCATCTCAATTATTAAAATTCCTAGGCTAATATATGGGCCAATTGCGGAAACCTAAAAGATAATGAAGCGGTAAAACAGAATGTATTTAATCTTATAGATAAATTTAATAGCTGACACGTGCCTCTAGGGTTTATTAAATCGCAGCGGCGTTACTTACTAGATTGATACGTGTGTCGCAAAATTTAATAACCAACACGATAAATAATAAAACATTAGACCGCAACGACTAAGAATATAAATTCTCTAGCATATTGTGAATGTAGACTCTATCCTCCATATATCACACACACGAATGGAATTACACCTGAAACCCGGTAATGGAAAATAAAATATGTATCTCGTTCCACGCCGCTGTCTTTCAGGCTTGCTGAAGATTTATTCTAAATTAAATTCCTATATAGATATGTTAAATATATTTCAAACTTTGTTATTAAATTGCATATCTTTATGAATTAAACGTTAAATGATATAGACCAATATGTTTTGAATATTTGCCAATGAGAAAACGGTTCTAAATGAAAAACCAAAAAAGTTACAGGCCTGGAATTGTCAAAACTAATTATATATATTTTTTTTTGTATTCCTATAAGGGTTCCTTTTGTGCCCTGTAATCTCACCCACCCAACAAAAACCTGAGTTTTACAACGTTCCCAACGGAATATAACTTGTGTGTATTATGTTTCCAAAACATCGATAAATCTTTCAGGAAAGCCTAAATAAAGATTTTCATCCCCTCTGTATTCAGTGCCAATAATAGACTCGAAAAATATAAATTTGACAACATACTGCACAATGGAATTTGGTCAAATGCAGCGTATGAGTGATGTCCGGTCATATTTCATTCATGAATGGCGCTCATAGTAGATAAAGAGGAGCTTGATTTAACACCTGAAAAGCTGCCACACAACGGGAACAATATCAAAATTTGCGAAAAATATACAAACCCATTGTTTCTTGTAATAATAATTGTCAGCTCAACATGATTTCGTACAAGCGTAAAAGATTTAAACTGTATTGTTCCCGTCCGTTGCTG